CTGTGACTACTCTGTGTAGCCCAGTGACTAAAGCAAGATGAAAACAATAACTGAAATGATTCCTGTTCATCTGCAACTATTTGCAAAAGGCTGTAAGGTCAACAAATACGTAATGCAAGTAGTGGATCTCCTAGATGAATATGTTAATGTGTCTGAAGAATCAAAGGGTAATCTGGATAGAATCTGCATTCAACAAAACATGCCATAAAGGTCTCCTCACACGCTGCTCTGGACCAGCAGGTATCAAGTAACTGAATGACATCATTTGAGTAATGGCTGCCTTTACCAATATCATTGACCCAAATGAGTTCAAAGTGATCCCCTTCAAACATTGCAATTCTACATTAGAGTCTCAAGAAATGAATGATAAACTTTAAGTCTGTTGTTTTGTTGTAGAACACCTCTTAAATTTGTTCCATAAAACATTAAGAACTTTAAGAGATTCTTTGCAATAAGAAAATAAAATTCAACTGTATTATATATTTTTGAGTTCCCGAACAAACGACAATGAAAAATGTGTTTAATATAATATAATATTAATAATAATATCATATGGTTTGAAGTTCTTTAATGTAAAACTAATGTTTGATGAAAGTTTTGTTTGTTTTGTTAATTATGCACAAAGCTACACAAGGGCTATCTGTGCTCTGCCCACCACGGGTATCGAAACCCGGTTTCTAGCGTTGTAAGTCCGCAGACATACCGCTGTGCCACTGGGGGGCATTTGATGAAAGTAAATAATAAATTACTTAGACTCAGTGTGGAGCAAACTGGTATTACAATTGACTTAAGAGTCACGAACAACAGGTAAAGTTTGAATAGAGTCATATATATTATGCAGCTAACTCCTCAAAAATGGCAGAACCCACTGTCTTGACCAATAGATAGGGCATCAAAACTTTTTCACTATGCATATTACAAGTACTTAGTCAGGCCTGAAGCAATCCCCGATTAAGTTATCTATGTTGGAATATCCTACTAAGGTAAGGGGTTCATTTTAGAGAGTGGTATATGTAAGATCAGCAGAGGGTTGTCCTCGCTGTCACAGAAAATGATTTGAAAGAGTCATTTGTAATGTGAATAGATGCAGTTGTTCCCCAAAATTAAATCCTTTGTAGTTCATGTAAAGACACAATTAAAACATTGGTCATGATTTCATCTTTGCAACAAGTCCTCTTCAATCTAGGTAAGTTTTTCTGAAACTGAAGGCTGAAACAGCATATGTGAATGACCATATCACGAAATGAACCTCAGTATATGCACCACTAGACACTATTACTAAGATGGTAGCCCATGAAGACTAGGTTTGGCTCTTGTAGTACCATATTGTTACAAGACAGTCACTTGATTGAGCTGGGTTAGTCATTATATAGTACTTAGATAACTTGATGTTCTGACATAGGAGTCATGGAAAGACAATTTACCATTGAGACAGAGTACAAAACTGGTACTGTATAAGTACTAAATAGCCATTCCATTTCGGTTGAACTTGCCCTTACTCAATGCTGACACAATTTGTTCTGTAAATTAATAAATTTTGCCCTCTAACTCCAAGATAAAGCATGTGAACAAGTTAAAATTTCATCTAATAGATGAATTATTAGAAAACTGCCTGGATCATCATCCTGCAGAAGAGAAGGTTTTCAGCAACTATGATGAAGACTTGGAGGAAATAAACAAACAATTTTTATCTTTGGAGGTGAACAACGTCAATTTTTGGGAGGAGAGTTGATATCCTATCTTAATAGTATGGCCAGAAGGTTAAATACATGCAGGGTCCTTTTAGAGGGGAAATTGACTTTGTCTCCACGGGTAGCTCATCACATCAAGTGAGTACCTATCAAAAGTCTACACTAAATATAGTGACCTCAGGGAGACTAACGATGAGAATGGAGAAATAGCAGGTAGAGACCAGGAATAAGTGATTGGGTACCATGGCACTGGGTTCATTAAATTAATTATTATCATTAACATTACATTTGAAAGCATTGGACAATTGAAAGGGTCTGGCCAGGCAAGAGAAGCTGACAAAGAAATAACTACCTAATCTATGTATATTGGGTAAAACGACTGAGGTTTATATAACTAAACAAAGACAACAATTGAAAGTTAAGACTAATAGTAAGCTGTGAAAGCATAACAATACATGAAAGGTCATCACTATCATGCTCTGCTTCAGGTAGCAATTGTAAAAGAAAGAAGAACAGGAGAAAGAAAAAGTGTAATAAATTGTTTATCACTTTCAATTTTCTGTGTTATAGTTTAGTATATTGCAGCTGGTCAACAGAATAAGACTAAAAAAATCACTATGATGAGCTGCTGAATAGCTGTTACAGCTGTAGTGGAGGAAATGATTACAAAGGCCAGCAATAAAGAAAAGCTATCGTCAGTAGTGAATCTGGATACCCCAATCTCATTACCATCTGTTTGTGTAGCTAAACGAGCAAAAGTTCATCAGCATTTATGATTGACAAAAAGTCATCTTCCTCAATTCATCTTGCATACTGTGAAAAAGCAAGGATTGCTTATCTAAGCCTCTCTTGTGATTTAAGCCCTACAGAACTATATTGACCAAGGAGTCAATAAAGAAAAAACAACAACCAGAAGCTCAGGTAAGACCTCGTTTTAACATGGGTGCTACTATAGGACCTGTTAATCCTATAAAACTGATTTAGTTTCCAGTCTCCTCTCATCAGAAGTGCCTGGGCTGATATTCCAGAGGTCAAGTCAAAAGGTACCTGACTCAAAAGTGAATGTATGCTAGCACACACATCTTTACTGAGGAGAAAACTCTTTGTTTTTGGCGAATCCTAGATTCCGAAGACAAAAGTGGCTCAGAAAATGGCGAATGAGTGAGTTAATTAGGCAGAATCAATCTCCCAATTCATCAAGATGCTTTTGAAATACAATTATATAAAGTGACTTTTACAGATAGAATTTGTGGACATATATTCTCTATTTATTAATGTACTTAGAGATGGAAGATAATGGGCGGAAGTGTTTCAGTAACTGAAGACAAAATTATAGAATTGTTAAAGCATGCATAGGAAAATGTTTTCTTTTCTCCTAATATTATATGAAAAAGGAATGTGTTGGTTTCTCAAGTAAATATTGTGGAATGTGTTGGTTTTCCAAGTAAACATTGTGGAATGTGGACAATTTTCTGAACGAGTAACCAAGCAATGTGTGTTATTAAGACTATGTTTTACTGCAGACGCTTTTTGTAACATTTTTCTCAATTAGTCCACTTTGGATTTCAAAACAGAGGTGTGTACAAATAGTATTTTACATCATGTGTTTGCTAAAAACAAAACAAAAAAACAATGCTCAGGAAGACTTTCGTTTAATGTCAGAACTCGACAGCTGAGCTCGACTTGTAGCAGCCAGAAGTATATTTGAAATGTTATTTGTATGTAATACAAATAACATAAAGCAGTAGTGTAAAGCGCCTCAGCTGGCAAAGCAACGAGGTTTTAAGATCTAACAACTATGACGAAATCACGCTTTACCACAATGCTTTTTCTTCACATTTCTCTTTATCAATCTTTTATGGATTTTTAATCTTTTAAACTTATCGTGTTTTTGCTACGGAATAGGCAAATCGGTTCTTCCCATGCAATCATAAGAAGGGTGTTTTTTTTTTTTTTGAAAAGTGTAGAAGTGCTGTTAGAGGCAAACCGTTAGCATGCTCTGTGTAAATTAATTGACTAACCCTGAAGAACGAATAAGTATGGGATTCCCATGATTACAAGTTCAATCTTGGTACATCTCGATCAAAATGCAAAAAAGGTTGAGATTGTCATGGAGCAGTGGCTTCCAAACTGTGTATTGTCATAGAGCAGTGGCTTCCAAACTGTGTATTGTCATAGAGCAGTGGCTTCCAAACTGTGTATTGTCATAGAGCAGTGGCTTCCAAACTGTGTATTGTCATAGAGCAGTGGCTTCCAAACTGTGTATTGTCATGGAGCAGTGGCTTCCAAACTGTGTATTGTCATAGAGCAGTGGCTTCCAAACTGTGTATTGTCATAGAGCAGTGGCTTCCAAACTGTGTGTTGTCATAGAGCAGTGGCTTCCAAACTGTGTGTATTACGACAAGTTGCTAGGGGTGTTGCGAGAGTTTCACCAAACGAAGAATAATTAAGAACATAAAAAACTGTACAAGTTAATATTGAATGTGGCAGCAGGTGTAACACGCAAATAAAGGTAAGTGGGTTAGGGTGTCCTGAGTGAAAAAAGTTTGGAAACCATTGCCGTAGAGTATGATACTAAGACCACGAGAGCTCATGCATCATCTTTAAATGTTTGGTTGTGTATTTATTTATAAATATTTTGCAGTGACATTACATTTCTTAGAGTCTCATCAGAAGCTTTTTCTTTTGATAATCATTTTCCAAGCTCACTGGTGGTCACTATTTGTAGCATGTATGTAGTTTAAAAGTAAAATATTTGCCTTATATCGTATTAACATAAAGAACATAGCGCAAGTTAAACGACAATTTTGTACAGACAAACTACATTAACTAATAACCTTAGAAGTTTCTACCTTTTCACGAGTCAACTTTCACCTCAATTACAGGGAACCTAGATGTGTCAGGTAATTACCAGTGCACACCATAGTCATTACTCAATATAAAAAGTAGCCTACCCTAAAATGACCGCTTAGTGGGCTTTCCAATGACCATAACCCTTGTGACTCACTTTAGCTTCTGAAAATGATCGAATCTTTTTTTTTGCACTACTTACTTTACTAATAGTTATTATGAGTGGAGTATTTCTGAGTTTTAACTAATGTGTGAAATATTTGCAATCACAGAAACAAAACAATAATCCAATTATTGATGATGTAAAATGAAATAAAAAGTAATTTTTCATTCATTTGTATGTTATTATTTTTCAACTAAAAGTTGTATATATCTTGTAAATCATGAAAGCAACACTGTGACACATAACAGCACATACACAGTGTGTCTCATCTAGTTAGATTTTTGTGTCATACTCACGAAACACTGGTATCCTTTAATGTCCTGGCGAATTGTATAAGTGAAGAGGACGCCATTTTCTTCCCAGTTTCCAATGCAACGATAAACACGTTCTGTATGAAAAACAAAACTTGTTTTTTAAAGTAATAATGCCTTACCAATGGTGTATATGTAACTCTCATTACACTACCGCCCATTCACACAAAAACTGACAATCAACAAAATGAAATACAAACATAAAACGATTTGTAACTAGATGAAGCGATGGCGTGAGATTCTATAGAGTGAAGTATAACATCAATTATTATACAATTTAAGTGTATGTTTGTTGTTAAGCACAAAGCTATACAATGGGCCTACAACTCGATTTTTAGAGTTATAAGCTCTCAGACTTACAGCTGAGCCATAGGGGAGCACGATTTACGTCGAGTATTTTTATGTCAAACTGTTATAGATGTAACAAATATAAGTAATAGACATTATGCTCACGGGTACCATTAAAGTAATTTATATTGGTATTTGGTACATATTTAGTCACGACTTCCTTGGTGAATCATGAATTAGCAACAGTCCTATGTGAAGTTTGATACCAGTTTATATACGTGCGGTGGTTTTTTCATCTAGTATGAGTCATGGGCAACAGTCGTATATCAAATTTAAAACCAGTTAATATACACGAGATGTGTGTATCTAGTAAGAGTTATAGAACACGGCCCTATATGAAGTTTGATACCAGTTTCTACAAGTGTGACGTGTTTATCTGGCATGAGTTATGGGCAACATTTGTATATGAAATTTGATACCAGTTTAAGTACGTGTGATGTGTTTATCTGGTAAGAGTCATGGGTAGCAGTCATATGAAGTTTGATACCAGTTTAAGTACGTGTGATGTGTTTATCTGGTAAGAGTCATGGGTAGCAGTCATATGAAGTTTGATACCAGTTTAAGTACGTGTGATGTGTTTATCTGGTAAGAGTCATGGGTAGCAGTCATATGAAGTTTGATACCAGTTTCTATAAGTGTGACGTGTTTATCTGGCATGAGTTATGGGCAACATGACTTATAGAAACTGGTATCAAACTTCATATGACTGCTACCCATGACTCTTACCAGATAAACACATCACACGTACTTAAACTGGTATCAAATTTCATATACATACATCACACGCACTAAAACTGGTATCAAACTTCATATGACTGCTACCCATGACTCTTACCAGATAAACACATCACACGTACTTAAACTGGTATCAAATTTTATATACAAATGTTGCCCACAACTCATGCCAGATAAACACGTCATTTTATCTGGTAAGAGTCATGGGTAGCAGTCATATGAAGCTGAACGTTTAAAAAAGCATCACGTTCTTAGTAAGTAGAGACAATACAAAAGAATAAAGTTAGATTTGTGAACGTTTAAAAGTATTACATTCTTAGTAAATAGAGACAATACAAAACAATAATATATGTTCGTGTATAAGTAAACATTAGTTTCTTAGTAAGGAAATACAAAATAATAAAACGAGATTCGTAAAGTTTAAGTAAATATTAGGTTCTTTGTAAAGAAATACAAAATAATAAAATGCGTTTTTTAACATTTAAGAAGAGACTGGAATATTATTAAGTAGAGAAAATAATAAATAGCGTTTTTTAACCATTAAAAACATTAGAATCGTAGAGAACATGGAAAATAAAGTAAAATCTAACTATATTATTTTGTATTGTCTCTACTTACTTAGAACGTGATGCTTTTTTAAACGTTCACAAATCTAACTATATTATTTTGTATTGTCTCTACTTACTAAGAACGTGATGCTTTTTTAAACGTTCACAAATCTAACTATATTATTTTGTATTGTCTCTACTTACTAAGAACGTGATGCTTTTTTAAACGTTCACAAATCTAACTATATTATTTTGTATTGTCTCTGCTTACTAAGAACGTGATGCTTTTTTAAACGTTCACAAATCTAACTATTATTTTATATGCTCTACTCATTATGTATCTACTGTCAGCGTTGGGGCAGTATTAGTAGCATTAGTACTATATTACTTATTACTCGTTGCTTAAAATAAAAGTAATAATAATACTATTACATGTTAGTTGCTTGTTTATTTGTTTGTTTTAGAACAAAGCAAGATTGGGCTATCTGCTAAGTCCAGCGCAGGGAATCGAACCCAGGGCACCATATTAGTTGCATAAAATATGTAGTTATAATAATCGTTTAATTAATATTTGTTACAATTGTTTCATTTTAAATTAGTTGACACTGTATTACAGCAATAGAAAGATCTGTGAATGTTAATCATGTTTACAAACAAAATATCCTATATTTGATACTCAGAAATTGTCAATTAGACTCTATAACACATTCACATACAAATATGCAACACTGACTTAAGTCACATACCACCCACACTATATTAGACTCTATAACACATTCACATTAAACAAATATGTAACACTGACTTAAGTCACATACTACACTATTCAAATGTACTTTGCTTCTTGTGCATAACGTTATGCTTTTGCATCATCTTCTAAACTCTCAAACTAATTCCAACATTTTGACCTTGAAATGCAATTTTTGTCGTTCTATTAATTTTTCAACTACATCCAAAGTGATAAACCGAAACACGAAACAGCGAATACGAAATACTTTTTTTGGCGTTATGTAGCGATTCGCTGAACGAGTCAGGTAATATTATTGAATATTGTAATTGTTTGTTTGTTATTAAACACAAAGCTACAAAATGGGTTATCTGTGCTCTCCCTGCCACTGGTATCGAAACCCGATTTTTAGCATTATAACATTACAATAGAAAGGAAAGTTTGGTAGTACTAAAGGACATTACGGTTTAATAAATGAATACAAATAACTTGTTATTTTTAGATTTAAAGTAACTATTATTAAAAGTATCACGCTAGATTATCCCTCATTTTTATATTAATCTCATTACTGTAATTAATTACCTCAATACTCCTTAAGTGTTAACGATCATTTCATTGTTTTGTATTTTCTCTACTTACTAAGAAAGTGGTTAGATTTTCATGCTTGAAACCCGAGCATTAGCCACGATCAACAGTCGTATATGAAGTTTGATACCAGTTTATATACATGCGGTGTGTTTATTTAATATGAATCATGAGTAATTTCTAAAGTGATTTTCACAGTTTGTATTGTAACAACAGAAATGACGAAGAAATTGAACCAACAAAGGAAGTTCAGTGGAGTTAGACTGTGCGATTGTTAGTTTAGCCATAGCAATAAAAGAGAGAATTATTTATAGCTCTAGATACAACTGTGGTAGCCCATGGAGTAACGTAAGTGAATTTATCACCGATTGTATTGTAATAACAGAAGAGAGAAGAAATAATTAGTTTTGTTATGTGGTTGTATCTGAATCAGTCTGTGTGGACTTTTGAAGAAAAGAAAGAATTATTTAAAGCTTTAGATTCAACTGCGGTAACCAATAGTGTAAGGAATTTTCTTTGTACATACATTTAACTCGATATGAATATATTATTTTAAAACAAATGGATTTTGTGCTGTCCGTTTATTGTTGAAATTTATCACCAACAAATCACAGACACTTAGTGTATATAATCCCGAGGCTTCTATAAAATCTGACAGGTGTATTTACCTTGTATGAATCACGGGCAAAAGTCGTATATGAAATCTGATACCAGTTTATACACATGTGCTGTGTTTATCTTGTATGAGTCATGGGCAATAGTCCTTCGCGAAGTTTATATATAAATTTATGTACTTGTGGTTTGTTTATCTAGTGCGAGTCATGGGAAACAGTCCTATACGAAGTTTTTAAAATAAGTTTATATACGTGTAGTGTGTTTATCCGGTAATAATCGTATATGAAATTTGATACCAGTTTATATACGTGTGTTGTGCTATCTAGTTTGAGTCATAGGCGATAGTCCTCTGATATTTTATACAAATTTATGTACTTGTGGGGTGCTTATCTCGTAAGAGCCATGGGCGACAATCCTATAGGAAGTGTGATACTAGTTTGTATCCGTGCAGTGTGTTTATCTAGCTGATATGAGCCATAGAAATTATAGAAAATATTTAGTGAAATCGTTACTTCTTAACAAAGGATGCGACGCCTGAGCGATTGTAAAAAGCATGACGTTGGTAGAAAAGGCAGTGGGTCTTTTTTGTGAAAAGATATTTAATAGTAGTGTCACTGCGGCTTGATGTTGTGTTAGAAATACAACAGAAGAATCATCGCTTTTATTTTTGATACGTTGTTGTTTATTTTTCCAATTATCCTTGCTTCGTGATGTATCAGATTTTATCGTCTTTTAAAGAAATAACAAGAAGTTTTAGATGTACAACAGACTAACACAATGACTTTGATTTATAAATCGTTTAATATACGGCCTAAAATTAGCATCTACTTTAAAAACTTGACACATTTTTACGGCCTCAATCAATAGATGTTGACATCTTCAACTAAATTTTAACTTCAACCCCTCCACCATCAAATCGGCTATTCAGTAGCATTTGGTCGTGAAATTAATATTCGACGACTAAGTAAACACAACTAGAATATATATATATATATATAGTTTACTGAATGGTGCACCATGTGGTTGGCTTATATGGTGCACCGAATGCTAATCTATTTCTCTGTAACAAGAAGTTTCGCATTAACTACCGTGGTTTTAAACTATAAACCTTTATCGAATGGCGCAACGTTTGATTTACCGAATACAAAACCATTCAGCAACAATAAACTTAGCACTAAACTGTAATTTATCAATTCATTGTTTATAATTTAATCCGTAGCTCAATTTTTTTGGAAGGTTTCTTTCATTATTTGCAAATGAGGATTTTAAAAATCCAACTGGAATCGAGAAGCAAACTTAAACTTTTAACTATAATACAAAGTTCGTTTAGTTTTACCGAATGCGAAATCGTTCAGTAAAAACAAACTTTGTACTCCATGATTTTTTTTATTTATCACGTGACACTCGTCAAACTAAAAGACTTTTTAGTATTAGTTCAGGTTTTCCTTAATTCAGCAATAATCAAATTTGTTTTATTTCTTTGTTTTTTCAACTCAAAGCTACACAATGGGCTATCTGT